CTAAAATGACTAAACAACAAATTTATATAACACTTTAAGGTTTGCAAATTGATTTACAAATATCCTCACTACAACTCTGAAAGGTGCATATTATTTTTCTCCCCATTTTACAAATGAGGAAGCCAATGCAGAGGTTAAGGGACTTAACCAGGATCACACAGCTAGTAAATGAGGCTAGATTTGAACTCAGGTCTTGCTTACTCCAGGTCCACTACTCTATTTACTGAACCATCAAGCTAGTTGTCTGATAGCCAAGAGACCAGATTCTATATAGCTGGTGATACAGCCTTGAAAAATATACATCTTTTTTTGGACTTTGATTTTTTTTTAATCTGGAAAGTATATAAAAGTCTTATCCTAACTCCACAATAAAGATATTGTGAAAATAAAGTGAGATGTATTGGCAAAGTGTTTTTGGAGTAATAGCATGATTTAATATTATTTTGATGTCTTATATAAGAAAATGTACTTCTGTTGCCTCATCACGACTTTGAGGTGATCCTAGGTTCTTACGCCAGGCATTAGCTCTGAAAGATCTTACCGAACTGCAAAGATGCTCCAAGAGATTAAGTATCCCTCCCAAGAAAGCCAGCTTCAACAAGTTCTCAATAGATTGTCTGAAATCATGAGTTTTTGAATCACAACAACTCTCAAAAACCATCCACCAAATCAGAGTTACTATTTGTATTATTCTTTTTATTTTCATTCCATGTGTATTAATATATGTATCTGCTTTCTATCTCATTAGAATGGAAATTCTTGGAGAATAAATGTTGCATCATTCTTTATGTTTGTATTCCTCTCACCTAGTACAAAGCATGGAACATGCTTAATATGCTTAATATGTGTTTCTTTATTGAATGAATACAATATATATCAGTAGAGGGAGCACTGACAACAATGTAATTATGAATTATCTCCATTTGAAACATCTTTCTTTGTAGGAAGTCTTGGCTTCCTTTGAAATACTGCTTCCGTCTTTAGCTTTTTTTCCCTGTCTTTACCCTCTTCCTTTTCACTCACAACTCTTTCCTTTCAACTACAGGATCTCAGGGCATATTTTTTGAGTCTGGGGAGTCTGTGAAGAACCCCCGGGTATATCATAGCCAGCATAGAAAGGAAATGAGCTTTTGCAGCATAGGTGTGCAGTAAGGAACTATAAGTGAAGTCAGTTTAGGTGAGTGGATGAAGACTACTTGGCTTAGACAGGATGGCATGTTTCTAATCATAACTTGAAAGAAAAATAGATCCACATTTCACCCAAATTTAAATTCATTTCTTGAAAGGTTAACTTTCAGAAGTTAAAAACACTACCTCAGATTTCTGTCCTCAAAATCTGTCTTCAAACTTCTATGATCTGGCTCCTGGCCCAGCCACTCAACTGAAATCACCCTCTAAGGTCTTCCAAAACCTCTTCTCAGCCAAAACCAATAATCTCTTTTCTCTTCTCATCCTTCTAGACTTGTCAGCTATATTCAAAACCGCATTCCACTCCCCTCTTAAACACCCTTCCTGGCCTGAGTTTCAGAAACACTGTCTTCTGGTTTTCTTCTTATCTTTGAGTCACACCTACAAAATCTTCCCTGGCTCTCCTCCTGCTTTGCTATATTCCCTAATTTGCTTTAACATATATATACTCCTTTAGGGATCATATCAAATTTAATAGTTTCCAGTGGTCTTCAGACCTGATGTCTCCTTAACTTTTCAGTCCTATAGATCTTAATATCTTGCCCCCAACTAAAATTAAACATGGTGAATGAAATAAATGAAGTAAAAAGTCTTTACTCCCAACATGCTTTTTGCCCCTATCTACCTCTTCAGCTTCTGTCAGGGATACTATCGTTCTGTCAAATCCTTAGAGATAGTTTATACCAATCACTGTCCTTAGTCTTCCATAAGTTTTTGTATCATACCATTTGTTCTATTATGTTTGCTGGATCTGCCCTTTCTTTCCCTTTCTATTCTCCATTCTTGCCACTAAATATTGTGATATGTTGTGATGAAGTCTCACCCCCTCAGATGTGTCTAAAGACTGTCTGTTTTTTTAATCCTCACTAATGGAAATTTAAAGCTTGGCCCCACTACCTAATACGTGTGTTATACTTAACCTCTCTAAGCCTCAGTTTCCTCACCTGGAAAATGAAGTATTTGGATTAGATAACCTCTGAAGTCCCTTCCCACTATAAATCCATGATTATATCATAGATTCAAAACTTGGCTTATTATGACAGATTATGAGGCCCTCTACCAGCTTGCCCTACTATGTCACCACAACATGATTTCCTATTTCTCCACTTTCTATGGCCTCTGATCCAGCCACACAAAATTTTGATTATGTCTGATCTATATCCCTCCCTCTTTTATGTCTGAACATTTTTCTCATACTTCTGGGAGAACATCCCTATTCCTTTCCTCCAACCCCCAGCCAACATTGTTCAGAACCCCATTTAGATCCTATTCTCTTCTTCAGTAAATGTATACTTGGTCTTTATAAAACTACACTAGTTCCTTTCTTCCTCTCCCTTCTAATATCCCTCAGCATAGTACATAGGTACATATGTACAGTACATAGGGTAGCTAGGTATCACAGTAGATGGAGCACCAGACTTGGAGTCAGGAAGACCTGAGTTCAAACTGGCCTCAAGCACTTACTAGCTATGTGACCCTGGGCAAGTCACCTAACCTTGTTTGCCTCATCTTCCTCATCTGTAAAATGAGCTGGCGAAGGAAAAGGCAAATCACTCCAGTATCTTTACCAAGAAAACCCTAAATAGGGTCATGAAAAGTGAGACATGATTGAGATAACTTAACAACAATGAAATTATGTGTGTATACATGTACTGAACTACTTTTATGTGTATTTTAAAATCTCACATACTAATCTTATTGTCCATCGATAAATGTGACTATGTCCAGTTTCTCCCCTCATTCATTTTTGTTCAAGGTTATTAGGGTCATTTGATTCTGTAAATAGAATATAGCTGGATTTTGAGTCAGTCACTCATGGCATCCTTGTATAAGAAGAAGAGTCATAGGACAGTTAATAGTATTGTTAGGTGGATTCTGAACTGCAAGAGTGAGGCAAACCATGGTCCCTAATGGGTTGATGTCAGCTTGCAATGAAGTATCTAGTAGAATGCCCAAGAAACAATGTGGTATAATACGAAGGGCACAAAAGTCAAAGTGACCCAGATTAAAATCTTATTTGTTGCTAAATGTGTGGCTGTGAGCAAGTTCTTTAACATCTCTGAGCCTCAATTTTCTCATCTCAGATAAATGAATACTAGGTACATCACAAGGTGGTTAGGAAGATCAAAGATGATGATGTAGATAGAGTGTTTTATGAATGCCAGCTATAATTATCCCAATGTGCTGTTTAATATTTTTATCAATGAGTGATCAAAGCATAAAAAGCAGACTTGTCAAATTTATGGAAGGCACAAAGCTGGATGGGATGAAGAATGTACTAGTTGATAAAATCCAAAATTATCTCAATATTCAGTGCTTATATAATGGTTGGATAGGTCAAATCTAATAAGAATGAAAGTTAAAAGATAAATGTAAACTCTTTTAAAAAATGACTATGCAAGTACAGCATGAGGATGGGAGGAGGGGATCTGGCTACACAACTATTTGTGTGGGGAAAAAAAAGATTTGAGAGTTTTAGTGGACCACGAGCCTAATATAAATAAAGAATGACATGGTAGACCAAAAAGTTTTGTTGCTCTTAGACTGCATTAAGAGATCCATGAAGCCAAGAACAAAGGAACTGATAGTCCCACTTCCCTGTTCAAATTATGTTTAGAGTTAGACACAACATTTTAGGAATGGAATTAACACCAGAGCGCACCCAGAGGACAATCACCAAATTGGTGAGCATACCAAATATGATGGCCAAAAAAAATGGATATGATAGAAAAATTAGGGATGTTTAAAAGCCCAGAAGCTCCCTAGAAAGGCTAGCTGTTGTTATTAATAGTAATAGCTCACGTGAAAAATGTTCCTACTATACGTTAGCATTGTGCTGAGTACTTTACAAATATTATCTTATTAGATGCTCACAACAATCCTGGGAGGTAGGTGTTATTATTATCTCTATTTTATAATTGAAGAAATTGAGGGAAACAGAGGTTAAATGATTTGCCCACAGCTTGTGTAAGAGATCTAATTTGAACTCAGGTCTTCCTAATTCTGTGCTCTTAACTACTTGAATTACTTAGGTGGCTGCTAATATTATTATTATTAGAAAGAAAAGACTGAAAGGGGACATGATAACTTCTCTACCAGCATTTGACAGGTTGGTATTTGGAAGAGAAATTAGATTGACTAAGGAGAAATGAGACAAATAGAAGAAGTACTGAATTTAAGTCGAGGCCTGAGTTCAAATCTTCCCTTGGAATGTTAGTGCCCAAGGTTGTTATTTAACCTCAATTTCATCCTCTGTAAAATAATAATAATAGTAATAATAATTCTACCTACTTTACATAGTTGTTGTGAGGAAAGTACCTTACAGTGCCACAGATTTGGGAGTTATTATTCTATTTGAACCCAAGGGGCAAAAGGTAGAAGTTGCCAAGGGCAGATGTCATTTCAATATATGGAAAAATAAAACAAAACAAAATCCCTCAATGTTTAGAGAAAGATAAATGAGAAATGGGTTATCTCAGGAGATAGAGAATTCCTCATTATGGTAGCTCTTTAAATCAGGTCTATATGACCATTTGTGAAAATGATATAGAGGAGATTCCCTTAAAGTAGGGGTTTTGCCTTGCTAGATTTTGAGGCCCCTGCCAACTCTGAGATTCCTTGATTCTGCAAATGTCTGTATGCCCCATATCCCCTTTGAATTGTAAATACTTTAAGCACCAGGACTTTTTTTTCTTAATCCTAGCTGAGTCTACATTGGCATCTTCATTGTAGGCACTCAAGAAGTGGTATTTGCTGGTGATGGTGGTTTCAGATAACTTACCTCACTCAGGATATGTGTGTTTTCCTTTTAGGATCCCCCAATGGCAGTAACCCTCGGACTACGAATGGAGGAAATGATTTTTAACCTTGCTGACACACATTTATTTTTCAATGACTTAGAGGTAAGAAAAAAAAGACTCCAGTAACAAATTCTGAAACTTTTAAATGAGATGACCATGTGAAAGTAATTTAATAAAGAAAATATCAAAAATTATTCCAAAGGTAAAAATAAGACTAAAAACCTATCAACATAAAGTGTGTATAAAAATATAAGCACAGGGCTAAAGACTATGTTCATTGTCATTAGACTATAAGCTCCCTGAGGACAAGGGCTGTTTTTTGACTCTTTTTATATCCCTAGCACTTGGCACATGCCTAGCACATTGTAGGTGCTTAGTAAATGTTTATTGATTGATTGTTCTATTGGCACAAATTTAACTCAACAACATGTTTTATGAATTTTCATAAATACTAGCTTAGTTGATAGTAAAATAACTATTTTCTGTTTCTACTTTATATTGAATCCACTTCCGTCATTTCCCAAAGACCAACCTTTTATGATGTGTCTTTAGATACTGGGGCAATTCTTTCTGGCCATCTGGTTTATTTCAATTCTGTTCAAGTACTTTCATATGGCTTGCCCATAGTAGGTACTTCATAACTGTTTATAAAATCAGATTCAATTAAAATTTAATTTAGTCTCCTTAACATTTCATATTTCCCCCACAGCAACAGCATAGATAATACAAATTGACATATAAATCAACTAATTTCAGCAAGCAGTTTTATTCACCTACCCACAGAACTTTTTGCCCCGACTACTAACACATGGCACATCTGAATGTTTTTAATTTTATCTCCTTTTATTTTCCACTCCCACCTTCTAGTGAGAGGTAAGGTGTCTAGAAGGCAGAGGGAAGAGAAAGAAAGGGCCTGGAAAATCTACATGGGTAATTAGCACTTGAATAATTGCAAATTAACTATAATAAGCTGAGCAATCAATACTCTAGTATCCAGAGTTGATACAACCTGTCTATAGGATCCTGCTTTATAGTTATCAAGTCATTCGGGCATTTGAAAATTTTTCCTTCATGCAGAAGGGAAAATAAAGTTGCTACAGAGGTTTTCTGGTATTTATTGATTAATACAAAATATTTTAAAATCTGTGTATATTGGACTATAGCAAAATGAAAATCTTCCTTTACAGATCTTATCTTTAAAAAAAAAAACAACTAAATTAGTAAGTGACTTAAACTATTAAAGTCACTGAGATCTTTGAACCAATCTTACTAGTATTTGAGGTCTATCCATGAAATGAATAGTTCTGTGCCTCCCACAAATATATGTACTATAAGTATGTTGTATAAATTGCATTGTTATTTAAGAATAGTAAATCACTGTTTTGTTTTGGTTTTTTTGTTTGTTTTTCTCTGGAAAATGAAATCACTTTCTATGCAAAATAAACTTTTTTTAATTGGCAGTAGGAGGACTCATTACTCTAGTGCAAATTTACAAATTCTAAAGAATAAAAAATAGTTATCAAGGCATGCTTTCAATTAATTCTGCTACCAAAATAAGTGTGGCATATAAACTAATTTTGTAAAAACATGGCAATGAGAAATACATTTTGAACTCACTTATGTTTGAACTTTATACATGAAAAATATTTTGTCTTAATGTTCAAGTTTTCAAATTTGCATCCTATATTAAGATAGGTCACATTTCTTCTAATGGTAGGGGAAAAAAAGGATAATTATCCTAATTTGTATTTAAAAGCAACTTTTCCCTAAAATATTTTAAAATGATTTTTTAAACATTTTTAGAAATTCTATTTTCACCTTGCAAGTTTTATCCATAGCAAATGCAGAATTATCTTTCTTTTTAGCATTGTAGAGAACAGATGTGATAAATTAAAAAGTATTACTCTTTATTTTTGGGTGGAGCACTAAAGCAAAGAGGGTGGCAATAATATGCAACAAGATTTTAAAAATTCCATCAGAAAGGTGAACACAAGGATATGTAGTATGTGCATATCATATAGATATTTCATTATAGCCAATATTAATAAATTAATTAAAAAACATGGCTCTCTGGCAAAAATAGGAAGTTAGATATTTTGTTTCCTGTTCTATAAATTCATTATAAAAATTATGTTGACTGGATTTTTTGTAGTGAATTATTTTTTAAGAGCATGTTACAAATTCCTCTTTAATCAAAACTAAAAACCCATGTTATCCAACAATGGATTTATCAATTGCTTCGACAGGCTTCTGGAATATTACTTGGGGGCCATCTTTAGATGCTAAGCTCCTTTTGAATAAATCAATTATATATAGTTAGACTGAACCATCTGAGAAAAAAAGAGTATAGCATGTGTTTAGAATGAGATAATCTGGCAACAAATAAAATTCTCAAACACCAATTGCATCAAGCATTCCTTATATTTCTTACCCATCGATGAACAATCATTATTCTAGAAGACATATTTATCTGGAGGTGACCTCATTTTGTTTTTTTATTTTAATTGACGTGAAGTTCATTGCACTGCCAGCAGTGAATAGCTGAACAATTTGTGCTGCTAGGTAGCACCTTTCCCACCACATACACACACACACACACACACACACACACACACACACACACACACACACACACACACACAATGCTAGTTCACATACACACCAAGACAAACAGAGTTTCCTCAAATAGTAAACTGTGCTTAACTACAAGGCAAATTTTCAGAAGGTTGCTTCTTGCCCTTCCTTAGACACTCCAGCTCGAGCTGCCAAAGAGTAACTTTCCCTTCAATTTATGATGGGCTTACTCAAGAATCTAAATCTTAGTAGATAGCACAACTTGTGTGGTCACAGCTGCTGGCAAATTCTATAGTTTCTGAGAAAATACGAATTAAAATTCTTCTCTTTGATAACCATTGTTTTTACTTTAACAATAACTTCCTACCCAACTTTATTTTCTAAATTTGAACTTTGATTCTGTGACTACTTGTTACTAGGGAAAAAATACAGTAAAATCTGGTATCATATAAACATTGAAAATAAAAAAGCTAATGCAGGACATTAACTGATCATTCAGCTTTAGATCTATGCGTTGTCTATCTTATTATTCTATGGCTTTCTTGTAATGAGCTACAAATTCCAAGATCCCAGTCAATTCTCAATCTTTATTACACCCAATCCTGTGCTCCATTCATTTACTAATGGTAGGTAACTATGCCTTCTAGGATTATGGGAAGAATTTTTTTAAAAGTTTTAGTTTTGGAATTGAAAAATGTGCTAAATAAAAGCATGATTTCACTTTAAGGCCTTTCCCAAGTCTCCAAAATTAAAAGAAAAAATGGAGAACAATTATTAAGCAAAATATAGATGCCAGTTTGGCTTTCCATCACCAGTACTTGCTCCAAGAGAGTATTCCAGATTCAACAGGCATACTTAACTATGCACAGATTTGAAGAAAATAAAATTTAAAAAAACTTTAAGAACAGAGTTCTTACTATATATTTAGATTGGATACTTTTGTATTAGTTTTCAAAAGTCTGATTTTATGTTCATGAATCATGTGAGTTAATCCTTGTAATATGTGAAGAATTTCTCTACAAATCAAAATGTAAGGGTATCCAAACCAGAAGCAACTTTTAAAATTAGTATTAAATACCCATGTGCCAGTGAGACCACAAAAGCTGTCAAAAAAAAAAAAGTTACCACCTCAACATCCAGACTTCTCTGTATAATATTGCATCCATTGGTCATTACATTGTGGTGGTGACCTGGGTTCTGCAAAATGACAGCCAAGCTCAATTTATGGAAGGTCTTAACGGCTCAAAAAGACTTAAAAAACAAATTCTTTGTCTGACATCAGATGCCAACCTAGCTGAGTTCAGAAAAGCTTACAAGGGGGCAGCTAGGTGGCACTGTGGATAGAGCACCGGCCCTGGATTCAGGAGGACCTGAGTTCAAATCCGACCTCACACACACTTACTAACTGTGTGACCTTGGGCAAGTCACTTAACTCCATTGCCCAGCTGAAAAGAAAAGAAAAGAAAAGAAAAGAAAAGAAAAGAAAAGAAAAGAAAAGAAAAGAAAAGAAAGAAAAGAAATCTCACAAGGTTAGTTCTGAGATGATGAATATTTTCTGGCCAAAAAAAAAAATGGACAAAAATAATTGACCTGAAGCATAAATAAGTCATTAACATATCTGTGGAAGAAGCACCCACATGGATGAAATAACAGGGCCTGAAGCTTTGGAAAAGCTAACTATTGTGAATATTTCCATTAAATGTCATCAGCACCATATTTACAACTAACTTCAAACACTACCCTGTGCTGCTGAAAAACAATTGTAATATTTCTATACTTATTTTAATTTGCAATTTAAGTTGTCATCAAATAAAAGACTATTACTGTATTCAGGATTTAAATTCTCTATAGAAAGGCTATTATTAAAAAATGTTTTCTCTGTAGAAAATATTCTCATATTTATCTATGAACTTAGGCACTAATGGAATTTTATGAAAGCCAGGAAGCAATATGCATTAATTTTTTTAAATGTCATTCATAAAGATCTGAATCTCACAAAACATAGCTGATATGTGCTTATGTTTTATATATCTATCTATCTATATATGTATATGTATATGTGAATATGTATATACATATATTCATATATGCAAATGTATATGCATATACACATATGGATGGAGGGATAGATGGATGGATGGATGGATGGATGGATGGATGGATGGATGGATGGATGGATGGATGTGGGGGGCATAGAAGGGCCTCATGTAAGGAAATCTTCATGAGAAATCTCTCTCTTCCAGTGCTGATACTTCAGTTCTGCACATTAGGGTCTTAGAGAGTTCCTTAGGACACACTGTCCAGGGTCACAGAATTAATATGTGTAAATGGAATGATTTGAACCAGTCTTCCTGACTTTAATTCCAGCTCTGCCTCACTGCCTCAAAATAATATGATCATATGTACACACACACACACACACAAACACACAAACACACACATAATCATATGTACTCAAAGTTACTTAGCAGTGACCTACTGATTAAATCTCAGGGATAAAATGAAACCTGAGACACTAGCTAGAAGTTGCTTTTGGAAAGTCTTGCTGCTTAAACATTAGGCATTTGGTTACTAGAATATCAAAAACATCTGATAAATGTAAATTATATTAACAAAAGTAATATTCTCCTATAAGGGATAATATCTAAAAAATCTCAGAGAGGCATGTCATCATATTTATTTTTAGTAAATGAATACTTAATATACTTGAGCAAGGAGAAAGAGTAAAATGATTAAGTAAAATGACTAAAAAGGAAAAACCAAATTATTAATTAAGGGACATATATATATATATATATATATATATATATATATATATATATATATATATATATATATATATATGTGTGTGTGTGTGTGTGTGTGTGTGTGTGTGTGTGTGTGTGTGTATGTATGTATTTGTGTATGTGTGTATGTTATCAAATTCCATCCACACATGGACAGACTTTCCAAGATTTTTTGAGAGGACCATTCCTATATTCTTACATTTAAAAACAGAACAGTAAGTCTGGCATATGATGAACCCACACCTGACAAGATTTTCTTTTATGCAATACCCTATGCTAGGTAACACTTTTGGTTTTTCTTAAAGGTTCCTCCCCTTTCCCTCCAAATCAATCAATCAAAATCACTCTAAGCAGTGGGGAAAAAAAAAACCTGAACATAAGAAAGAAAGAAAGCACAATTTTGGCAGCATTTAGAATTATTATATCAATAAATACAATAAGAGAATCCCTCCCCCACCCCCTGCACTATTTGGACCTAAATAGATAGAGGAGAAATAGGTATGACTTCCTAGAGCAATATATATGTACATATGTATATGGGCAGCTAGGTGGTGCAGTGGGTGGAACACTGGGCCTGAAGTCAGGAAAACTCATCTTACTGAGTTCAAATCTGGCCTCAGATACTTAGCTGTGTGACCCTGGGCAAGTCACTTGGCCCTGTTTGCCTCAGTTTCCTCATCTGTAAAATGAGTTGGAGAAAAAAAATGGCAAACTACTCCAGTATCTTTGTCAAGAAAACTCCAAATGGAGTCACAAAGAGCCAAACAGAACTGAAACAACCCAACAACTAAAATATATGTATATACTGTATGTATGTGTATGTATACTGCCAGCCTTGTTTTTTCATATCGCATATGTGCATATGTGTGTGTAACTGCTTTTACATAATATTCCTTAGCCAACTAGTTGCAAGAAGACAGGGCAAACTCATAAGAAACTATAATCTGTGAAACTGCTTTGTAGAAACAACAAATAATCAATAATAGTGATCATTTGAATAGTGATCGTTTTATAGAAGAGTTTGTTTAAACTTAGATCTGCTTTATTCCCAGTCTTTCAGATTCACACACACAAAAAAAAGAATCACTTAAGAAAAAAATTTGCTTAGGTGTAATAGGGTAGTAAAAGAAAAATGAAGAAGATGAAAAGGAGGAGAAAAGGGAAATAGGAGGAAATAGAAAAGGAGACTGAAACAGTCATAGAAAAAGTGGAAATAGAAATAGAAGAAGGAGGAGGAACGGAGGAGAAGAGGAGTTTTGTTGATTTTTTAAAATAACTTTTTAACAGATTCTGTTTTTGCAGGGTAAAAATTTTCCAGGTTTTTCAAGCATGAGGAAACAATAGAAAATTGAGTTTAGGAGACAAATGTCACTATGTCAATACTGCCATCTTCTGGCCTTGGTTGCTTGTTCATTGAGGAAAATCACATAGGCTTGTACACACACACACACACACACACACACACACACACACATTCACACACACACGTTAAAGAATGGCAAAAAGAAATAAACGTGCTGCAATGTTGCATCATTTGAAAAGCAAATAACTTTTTAAATGTCTTCTACAGGAGTGCGATCAAGTTCATATAGATGATGTTTCTTCTGATGATAATGGTCAAGACTTAAGGTAAGCCATACTTTTCAGTAATGCTATTTCCTATAGAAATTGAATAAATGAGATTTGCAAATGTAATTATTTCTTTTATTTATTTTTAATGTATTTTGGGTGTTGCAGTACCTACAGTTTTGCAACTGATGGCTTCCATGCAGCTGCAAGTAGTGCAAACCTTTGTTTGCCAACAGGTGTTAGAGGAGGGGTTGACTGGATGAGGAAGCTGGCTTTTCGTTACAGAAGAGTAAAAGAATTATACAATACCTACAAGAATAATGTAGGAGGTATGTGTATTTCATGTTTGCTTTATTGCATGAAGATGTCCTAATGCAGAAGTTCTTATCATTTTTATTTTTCTGTCATGGATCCCTGAAGCAGTCTGGTGAAGTCTATGGACCCCTTCTCAGAATAATGTTTTCAAAGGCATATTAAAAAATACACACACACACACACACACGCACATATATATATATATATATATATATATATATATATATATATATATATATATATATATATATATATATATACATATATATATAGTTTACCTATTTTAGGTTAGAACCCCTTCCTTGAGTAAAATCTCAGAGAGTAGCTGTGTTCTAATGATAGTAAAGAAACTGCAATTTGTTAAGGCTGAATGACTTTGAACCAGCATTTTAAGGTTTTAGAATTGATACCAATCTTGCACAAAAGAAAGAGCCACCTATGAATGAGCAGCTGCATTAAAAGGATTTCTGTGAGGTTTTCTCTTTACTGAATTTTGCAGACAGGTATTTAATCAAAACGATTAACAGTATAGGCTATTCACAACTCTCCTTTGATTGGCTCTCCAGGTGTTTTGAGCATAAGAACATAGTTAAAAGAAAAAAAAACCAGGAAGCTCTGCAGACTGTACCAGTGGGAAGATTTCATGAATGAAGAGGAAAATAAACACATTAGCAAATCATGTTCATGGGTTGGTTTTTTTTTTACTCTAAAAGAGAAAAATAGAGACTTCCTGTGATTTTAGGTAATTCTTAATGGACCCCATTAATATCTCAATTTTAAGCTACTCATTCATGGAGACTTAGTTAAGGTTATTATTTTTTAATTTAAAAAAAATTACAAGGAGTAAAAGAAAAGAAAAAAGAAAATGATTTCCTGTGATCTTAGGTGATTCTCAATGGACCCTATTAACATCCCAATTTTGAACTACTCATATTCATAGAGACTTACTTAAGATTGTTATTTTTAAAATAAAAATTTATAAGGAATAAAAGAAAAGAAAAAGAAAGTAAAAGATATACTCAATAATTTGGCACCTCCTCTGGATAGCACAGCCCACTAACAAAATTTTATAAATATTATAAGAATTGGGTATGAGATCACTTCCTGAAGCTTTGATTCTTACTATTCTTAGCCTAACTTCTGTACATTATTAGATTATGTAAAGCTGTCTCAAAGGAAAAATCTTTTATCATCATTTTTAAAGTATCATGGATAGAAAACAAAATGCAGGAGTGATTAATATAAACTTTTCATATATAAAGAGAAAAGAACACAAATATGTTAAGGAGCAATAAATAGGAGCCTATAAATTTGTAAAATCTATTAAAAAGACCTAAATCTTTCTAGATGCCATTCCAATTTTATATGCAGCACATTAAATTGAATCTCCCTTATAGAAATAGATGATGATTACAAAGAGGGGTTGCATTCTGATTCTTTTTCATAGGAGTCCTCTTGAAAAATTATAAAGTAATCATCTATCTCCTTTTTTCTACAGCTGCAGTGTAATCATGAAAGACAGAGATGTAGAAATGAAGGAAGGAAGGAAGAAAGGAAGGAAGGAAGGAAGGAAGGAAGGAAGGAAGGAAGGAAGGAAGGAAGGAAGGAAGGAAGGAAGGAAGGAAGGAAGGAAGGAAGGAAGGAACAAGGAAGGAAAGAAAGGAGGAGAGAAATAAGTAAAGAAGGAGGGAGTCTTGCATCTACACCTACATATAGATAAATACGAAATGTATACAATTCAGATACTTGGAGAAAGGCTAGCAGCTGGGGTAATTGGGAAAAATCTCATATAAAAGGGAATACTTGTTCTGAGTCTTGAAGGAGATCATGGGAGATAAAAGGTGAAGGTGGAGAGAGAGAGAGAGAGAGAGAGAGAGAGAGAGAGAGAGAGAGAGAGAGAGAGAGAGAGAGAGAGAGAAACATTCCAGGCATTAAAAATAGCAAGATGAAAAGCACAAAGGGAAAGAGGGAGGGAGAAAAGATGGTTTGCGTAGTCGCCAAATCTCTGGTAATGAGTGGCTCAAATGAGCTAGAGTGGTCCTCATAACTCAAAGTTCACATAAACTCAAAGTCTTTCCTGCTTGGTAATACCTTCCAGAGCTGGTACTTCACTAGCCTAGTAGCCAAAATCTATGCTCCAGTTAAAGTAGGACTTTAAAGTAGGGTTATTAAACCAATTGGCAAATAACCCAGAAAATTTTATTGTATAACTAGTAGAATTTGTTTCTCCTCCATCTTTGCTCTCTAAATTGTACAAGTTATTTTTCTGTTAATGTTTATGATAGAATTCATAAACTTCAAGACATTTCTTGAATAGAAGCAGAAAGATGTTGCATTGGATAGATAGCATGCTGGGCATGGAGTCAGGAAGAACTTTGAATCTAGCCTCACATACTTCTTACCTGTGTGACCCAGGCAAGTCATTTAACCTCTATTTTCTTCTGTTTCTTCATCTATAAAATGGGAATAATAATATCACCCAACTTCCAAGGGTATGAAAATCAAATAAAGTAATATATGTAAAGCACTTTTTAAACCTTAAAGCACTATATAAATAAATGCTAGCTGTTGAATTTTATTCATTTATTTATTTAATTATTTATTTGTTTGTTTATTTATTTATTTATTTTGCCTTCAATACAATGATAAGTTTATCATTTTTTAGAAATATGATACATCTGAACTTCTGAGGAAAAATGCTCTAGGCCTTCAAGATGGACTATTGTAATTATTTCAAAATGTCATTAATGATGATTAATAATCAATTGAGTGAAAAGCAGCATGGCATAATGGATAGGCTCCACTCTCTCTATTCAGCACTCTAATCTTGCCTCTGACATACACTGACTGTGTGACCTTGGGCAACTCACTTAAACTCTAAGGGGCTCAGGTCACTCTCTAAGGCTATAAGTTGCTGAGGAACTGCGGATCTTCCTTGGCAAAAGGAATTTCTTCACTGGGAGTTCCTTTGGCTAGTGAAATCACAGGTCTGTTCATGGAGAAACAAAAAAGAACACTTTAAGAAGTAAAAAAAAAAATTCTTATTTTTGTCAATTGTAACATGAAGGCTGTATTCCTAACCATTGGGATCAGTCAATCAACATGCATTTATTAAGAACCTACTATGTAACAGGTACTGTGCTAGGTGTTGGGATTCAGAGACAAAAAATAAATAGTCCCTCCTCTCAAACAGCTTATATTCTAATTGAGAAGACAACATAATAAGAACTAGCATTCATATAATACTTTATGGTTTGCAAGGCACTGTATATGTTACTAAATGTGATACTCACAAGAGCCCTGTAAGGTAGGTGCCCAGGGTCACACAGCTAATGGGCAGCTAGGTGTCACAGTGCCAGCCTGGAGTCAGAAAGATTCATCTTCCTGAGTTCAAATCTGGCTTCAGATACTTAGTAGCCATGTGGTCCTGGGCAAGTTACTTAACCCTATTTGCCACAGTTTCCTCATCTGTAAAATGAGCTGGAGAAGAAAATGGCAAACCGTTCAAGTATCTTTGCCACAAGGGGTCACAAAGAGTCAGACATGACTGAAACAACAGGACAACAACACACAGATACTTAAGTCTCTAAGACTGGATTCAAACTCAGGGCTTTCTGATTCCAAGTCCAACAATTGACCCCATTGTTCCACATAGAACTTTCACATATGCAGTATAAACAGATATAGAGATAGATATAGATATATAGGTATATTCAAAATATTTACAATTCAAATGCATGTTATACTTGGTGGGGGAAGGCATAAGCAGCTAGGGAAATCAGAAAAAACCTAATGTAAAGGGGAACCTTGACCTGAGTCTTAAAGGAAACTGGGAGAGATGAAAGGCAAAAGTTAGGAAACTGAGCATTCCAGGCACTGAAGACACCAAGTTCATACCACACAGATGAAAGAGAAAGCATCATGTAGAGAAACAGTAAGAAAGCCAGCGCAGTTGGGCTACTGAGTGTGCGGAACACAGGTGATGTGGTCTGCCCTGTATTTCAAGGAATTCACTTTGGCAGCTGTGGGGAAGATGGATTGGAGAAAGGAGAGTCTTGAAGGAGGGAAAACAGCCAGAGTCTTCCTCTATTTCTGATTCATAGCAGTGTAGAATGTATTCAGATTCCTAATTAGAGTAATCCTAGTAAATCATTATATCTTAACTTTTGCCTTACTTGGTGTTACAGGACTCCTTGGCCCAGCTAAGAGAGATGCATGGCTGCAATTAAGAGCAGAGATTGAAGGCCTAACAGACTCGTGGCTAACAAATGCACTTAAATCCTTATCAATTATTAGTACTAGGTAAGTCATTCAATTTACCATTGAAATAATTAGCATATTTTAATTCATTCAAGAAATAGTTCTGATAAGACAGCTCAGAAAAGGTAATCGTGGTCAATATATCTTAATATTTCAGTTCCCTAGAGGGATAGTTAGTCCTCATTAACAAAATCATACAATTTGTTCAAGATAGAATGGCTATAGTCATTGTTTAGACCAGAAGTTATCAAATTTTTTTGGTCTGAGAATCTCTTTTCACTCTTGAGAGCCCTTCAAAGATTTTTGGTTTATGTGGGTCATATTTATCACTTTTTACTATATTTGAAATTAAAATGTTTTAGTATTATTACAAAAATAGTTTTTACCTGATGGACCTCTTGACAAAGTATTGGACACCCCAAAGGGTTCTAGGGCCTCAAGATCTAGTATAACTCCCTTATCTATACAGATCAAGAATCTAAGGCTTACAGAGGTTAAATGAAATGGTTGATAAACATTTAGAAAGGGAAAGTTATTTAAAAGACACAGCACAGCTTCATCAAAAACAGATCATTTGTTTTGAAACCTTATTTCCTTTTCTTGACAGGGTTACTACACCTACTTTAGCAAAGTTTCTGATTAAATATCTCATACAATTCTTGTGGGGAAGATGAAGAGATGTAGATAAAGAAGTCACCAAGAATTAATTAAGCTCTTACTAGTACTGTGCTAATCACTGGGAATAGTAATAGAAAATTAAGGAGAAAAAAAAAAGACTACAATCCCTGCCCTCAGGAAGCTTATCTTCTAAGGAAGAAAGATTATGCACAAAAGAAAGCTAAAAGAGGTGGGGAAGAAGAAGGTGCTTCTGCAAGGACATGGTGAAGAAATAAGTCTGGAGAGTCAGGAGCAGGAGCCAGAGAGAAATGAATAAGTGAACATTGCTGGCCTGATCTCTTTAAAATGGAGCTTCAATTGTATAGATTCAGAGTTAAGTAGGGCAGCTAGATGGCACAGTGGATAGAGCACCTGCTCTGGAGTCAGGAGGACCTGAGTTCAAATGTGTCCTCAGACACATAATACTCATCAGTTGTGTGACTGGGCAAGTCACTTAACTCTAATTGCCTCACCAAAACAAATAAACAAACAAACAAAAAACAAAATTAGTTAGATGACTAAACACAAAGAATAAGCATTAAGAGTCTAATGGTACATTAGAATACCCCAGGTCCTGTCCTGTTCAACAGCATTATCACTGACTTGGATAGAGGCATGGATGGCACATTCATCAGATTTGAAGATGTTTTGATCGCAAACACATTGGATGTCAGTCAGTATCCAAAATCAATACTGAAAGGCTGGAATATGGGACTGACTCAATTATGCTTATATTCAGTAGAGATAAACATAAAGTTGTGTACTTGGGTACCAAAAACAAAAATTTTAAAAAAAATCAACTTTTCAAGTACAGAGTAGGGAAGGGAAAGTCAGACATCACTGTCTCAAAAAGATCCCCCAAAATTAAATGCTTACTGTTATAAGAGAAGCTTAGCTTCAAGAAATAAAGAGATAATTCTCCTTCTCTATCTTCCCTTCCTCAGGCTTCATCTGGAGTACTATGTTTAATTCTAGCCTCACAGTTTAATAATACTGGTAAGCTGGAGAGAATGTAGAGGAAGCCAACCAAAATGGTGAAGGGCCTAGAGTTAATGCCATACGATGATGGGTTATAGGAAAATATTTTGCTTAGAAAAGGGGAAGAAAAATCAGGAGGGACAGGGTAGCTCTATTCATTTATTTGAAGGGCTATTGTGTGTTTAGCCTCAGATAGCAGAACCAGGAACAACGGGGAGAAATTGTAAACTGACAAATTTAGGTTGGATGTCAGGAATTATTTCTAAACAATTAGCACTGTCCAAAAATGAAATGGCTACTTTTAGAGATATTGAGTTTTCCTTCCTTGGAAGTCTTAAAGCAGAGACTGGATGGCCGCTTCTCAGGTATTCTGTAGTGACAGTTGCTTTTTGATTATGGGTTTAAGTTAATGGCCCCTGGGATCCTTTCTCAAATTCTGTGATTTTCCTATTAGAGTTTTTTTTTTCATATTAGAGTGCTTTTAATTTTATTTTTTTTTTGTTATAATGGTAATTAGCTACGGATAGCTTAGGCCAAAGAAAAGGTTAGATGGCTTTATAAAATGTTACAAAAATAAATTTAAATACTTGAGCTATGTATCTTTGTGGGCAACCTAGAAAAATAAAGGCTAAGTGATCATATTGTTGTGTGGGTTCATATCTATTTGAACAATTATACCCATCATGCTGATGAATTGATACTTAGCTACTTTAGGGTTCTACACGTGGGCTTCGTCTATTTTTTCTTATTATCAATGACTTGAATGAAAGCATAAATGCTACAAGATGGGGAGGAATAACTAGCAATCGTGTTAATATTTTCAAGATTCAAAAAGATATTCACAGGCTAATACAATGTTCGCAAACTAGCAAGATGAAATTAGGTCAAGGTAAATATAAAGTCCTGTCTTTGTATTCAAAAAATCAATGGCATTGTAGATCCCTGTCTTAGTAATAATCCAGTGAAAAGACCTAGAGGTTTTAATTTATTTCAGTTTCACTTTGAATCAACAACATGATGTGCTTGTCATAAAGTTAGAGTCATCTTAGCCTGAATTAATATAAGCACAATATCTAGTATAAAGGAAGCCCCCATCAGACCACATCTAGAGTACTGTGGACTACCATTTTTTAAAAAGACATTAACAAGCTGGAACATATCCAAAGGAAGGCAAGCAATGGTGCTAGATCTTGAAACCATGCAATACGAAGGAGGACTGAAGGAATCCTACATGGCAAGATCAGGAGTTACATGAAGAAGTTTCAGGGACATAGATTTTGATTCTATACAAAGAAAAAGAAAAATTAAAGCCATGAAGAAAATGAATGGGCTAACTCAAAAAGTAATGTCATCTCTTATTGATGGTTTCCAAGCAATGGCTAGATGTCCTTTTGTCAGGTGTGCTGCAGAGTTGGTTTGTTGGTTTGTTTGTTTGTTTTGGATAGGCAATGGGGTTAAGTGACTTGCCCAGGACCACACAGCTAGTAAGTGTTATGTGTCTGAGGCCAGACTTTAACTCAGGTCCTCCTGAATGCAGGGCCGGTTCTCTGTCCACTGCACCACCTACCTGCCCCTAGAGTTGATTTTTGTTCAAATAAAACTTGAGTTAAATGATCTCTGAAATTGTTTCCAACTCTGAGATTTTCTTCTATTCTGAGCAGGAGGAATTACAAACTGAGAAAGTTAATATAGGCAGGTGCTCAGTAATCTGCCTTGGTCAGACCACTTCTGGAATACTGTGTTCAGTTCTATGTATGATATTATTTTTAAAAGGACATGGATAAGTTCAGAGGATGGGATCATCAGGATAGGCTAACCAGGATTCTAAGAAGACTTGAAGCCAGACTATTCCAGGATCTATTAAAGGAGTTATTGCTATTTAGCCCAGGAAAGGAGAGCAATAGGAGGAGGTAATAATTGTCTGGATGTAGCTAAAGAGCCATGATAAAATAAAGCTATTGCAATGTTTTTGTTTAGTCCCGGGAAACAAAGTTATGGGCAAAAGTTACAGGGAGACAGATTTAAGCCAAACCTTAGGAAGAACTTCCAAAGAACTCAAGGAAGGGTAAAAGGAAAATGATCCAACTATCTTAGGAGATTGAGTCCCCTTACAGTTGATGTTCAAACAGTACATGGACTTTTCAAAAGATTCTGAAAAAGACGTGAATTTGCGAAGGATGAAAACCCTTGCTTGGGTTTGAGTTATGTTAGATAACTTCTTACATTTATTCTAACTCTCAGGTCTTGTGATTCAGTTATATGGAAGATGGAATTGATTTGTTTTACTCATCTCCTCCCAGAACACAAAAGTCATACCAGTTGTTGGAAGTTAAAAAAAAAATGGCACATTTGGGCTCAACATAAGTGGGGAAGCGCACATCAGAATTTTTTTTTCATATTTCAAATAATTTTCTTATTTTTTCTCTCTTCCTCTTTTTCTTTAAAAAAAAAATCCCTACTTTTATCATAAGAGGTGGCTCTCTGATAGGTAACAGGAGAAAGAATCTGGGGAGGATGGATTTAGTTGATTCATTGTTTCCATATGATTTGGGATTATGTTCATTAGCCCCTTTTAATGAAATTTGAGGGACAAAGATTATTTCTGTTAACATTACTAGGGAGACAATGTAAGTAGTGAAAAGAGTTGTGAGTTATATTTAAAGAATTTAAAGAGTACCATATTTAGAGTCATGAGGCATGGTTGCAACGCAGGTTCTGAGAACTACAGAACTAACTGTTTGATCATGAACAAGTCACCTGATCTCTACCAGACTACATTTCTCTTATCTATAAAATAAGGATAATAACATTCACGTAGCCTAGGTTTTGGGGAAGAAATTACTTCATAATGCTTAGAATATTATAGAAATAGAAGATATTAGAAATCATATTTGTTTACTCTAATACTATCATCTGATTCTTCATATTTCAATGTGCAATATAATACATATGTACATTACATATATGTATATTTGTATATACTTATTATTCAGTATTAAAACTAAAAAAAAAGCCATTTTCCCTTTCAGGAGTAACTGCGTAAATGTCTTGGTAACAACAACTCAGCTTATCCCAGCACTTGCAAAAGTCCTACTATATAGTTTGGGCGGTGCTTTTCCTATTGAAAATATTTACAGTGCAACTAAAATAGGTAAGTAATTAATTAAAAATGTCATAAGGAATATGATTGTATTTTGTGAGATTTTGTGTTTTTATCATTTTTTCTCTCTTTTCAAGTTTAGCTATTAGGTAATCAAATTTGAGAATACCCCAAATCATGATGTATGGAGGCCACTCCCTAATTCTCTTTTTATCCTACCCCATTAAAAAAAAAAACTATTGAAAGCTTTTTTTTTTACTAGCTCTCTACCTGGTCCAAGCACTTTCCATATATTACTTATAGGATAATAGTATATATTATCAAAAATAGTGTGTAGCAATTCTGCCCATGCTTTTTAATCCTTAACTAGCATGCATATTAAATACCAGATCCTTATATTTTCAGTTATGTAGATCTGAAGTTCAGGTCCCTTTTTAGCATTACAAGAAAGTCTCAGAGGGAAAAGAGTTACAAGGCTCAAATAACATAATTGGAATATTCCCATGTCACGAGCGGATAGAAAACTTCATTTATACCATGTGCAATGATCAATAAACATAATCATGTCTATCTGTTCATCTCAGAGGCTGTGGGTACATTTTGATAACTATCTCTTCTAATATACATTCAAAATAAATCTTAAACAACTTCCATTTTGAAACCGTTAAGAGAAGAGAGTACATGTATACATTGACCTGTCAAGTAAATTCCTGATGAAATAGATGGACTGTGCCCTGAAGGTCAACAAACTTAGGCTCTGGGCACACTGACAAGGGAAGCTCAAGAGCCAAAGATCTTCCACCAAAAATAACCTGCCTGCCCCAAGTGCTTCAAAGTTCAGATAAAAGATCTGATACCAAAAGTACCCAATTGCAGCTGTTTCAATGATAAATCAGGAGAGATCCCAGCCTTTAAAAATATGGGCATCAGAATGTCGTCAAGTCCCATTTTAAGCACTGGTGTAGACATAAGTCAAATAGTCAGAACCTTCTGTTGCTTTGAAAAGGAGTTTCAAGGGAATTGAAGAGCATAGAGCTACCAAATTCAAATCAACAATTTTGGAAATAGGGTAGTAGTAAATGATGCCTTTTATGCAAGATAGCACTTGTATTTTAATTGATCCCATGTGTTCATGTAAATATTTACATTTGTTTCAGTGAAATTCAATCATACAGTGGAAAGATCTGGGCTTTGGAATCAAGAAACTTGGATTCAAATCTCACTTTTTTCACCACCTATGTAACTTTAGGCATGTTGTTTAACCTGTCTAACCCTTAAGTTCCTCGTCTGTAAAAGAAAGAGGGTTGGACCAGATGGATTCTAAAGTCTCTTCTGTTCTAAAGAAATAATCCTAATCATATATTATATTTTTATTTGGATTTTCATTTGGCTTTTTCACAAGTCATATAGTTCTATAATAGCATACATGCTTTGAAGAATGACTTTTTTATTAAGTAAATTCATACTAAAAATCAAATTAATTAAAATTTTTCTTTCTTTTTGCCTTCATAGCATTGTTTCATAGATTTTAGAATTACCAAATAATGAAAAAATGTAAAATAATAGTTACAAATGCATGAGTAATACAGTATTGATGTTCATAGGAATGAAAGCAAATATCAGCATTGTAAAGGTCTCAGAAATTTTTTGAACAAACAAATGAATATTCCGAGTGGTACTCAAAAAGCAAGACTCAGTGAGTGCAACAAAATTAAATTGAATATGGCATATGAGATGATAGTTGGAATGGAGCAAGGAAGGACAGAATCTGATTTTGATTCAAGCAGTTTTATAAGTACTATAAGCTACTTCTCCCTTGTTGTCATTTGGCCTGAACATCATAGACTTCCCAATTCTTCAAAGAAAGGAGCTGGTGACAAGAGTAATTTCCATCACACTGCATTGTTCTTTTTTGATTAAGTGAATCTTCTATCCTTTTTTTTTGCTTTTTAATACACATTTAAATAAAATTCCTATTAGAATTGGACCAGTTCTTAACTTTTTCTGTGCCATGGACCCCTTTGGTAGCCTTTAAAATGTTTTTTTTATTGTAATTGAAACAAATGCTAAATTTCAGTTGGAGATCAGTAAAGATCAACATGTAAAATGTAAATAAACAAATAATAAATGTAAATAAACATGTAGAAACAGTAAAAATAAACAATAAAATTTATCATTTTATTTTAAGAACCCTTGAATTTAAACTAACAATTATTAAATTATTTAAGTGATTATAAAATAATTAGGCTTTTGTATTTTGAGGCAAACAGTGCCAACAGTCTCACACTGCCAAAAATCAATCTTAACTTTTTTTATTTTTCCCAAACAATGTTCAATAATCTACTCTAACCAAGTTCTTCTGCCTTTCAGCAGTGTTATTGATATACAGAGGTCAGAGGTCTATAGCAAAGTTCAATAATCTTCAAGCAAATTCATTTAATCCTTTGCAAATCTTTTTGCAAATTGAAACAGTGGCTGAAAGAATAAGCAGTGCATTGTTTTTCAGGAAAAGAAAGCTGTTTTGAGCGTATAGTGTCCAGATTTGGCACTAACATAACTTATGTTGTGATTGGAGATGGCCGAGATGAGGAGCATGCCGCTAACCAGGTAACTTCACTCTGAACTTTATCTCATTTATCTTCCAGGAAAAGAAAGTTGCTTTGAGCGAATAATGCAAAGGTTTGGCAGAAAAGTAGTATATGTTGTAATTGGGGATGGTGTAGAAGAAGAACAGGCAGCAAAAAAGGTAACCTGTCTCACAAAAATGTTGGTGTGATACTTCCAATGCAAGCTGTTTTGTTTGCATTCCTGTAGTTTGGTGCAGTGGCAGATTGGCAAATGATTTGAATTTAAACACAAAACCAGAGCATGAGGTCAACCCTTGCATTTAAATTAACCATTTGGATTTTAGCATTTTTATTTGTTGATTTTCCTAAAATTTGATAGGAAAGGTAGGGAAATTTCTTTCACATCACAAACACTTGACTAGAATGTTAGTTAAAATAGGCAGGACTCTTAAATGACTAGGGTTTTTTTTTTAATATATTACTAAGACAAGAACAAGAGGGAAAATATTCACCCTCAAGCAAATGAAATGGAATAAGATAAACAGCCCTCCTGAAATTTAGAGAATAGTTTTAGAGGCTCAATTTCTCACCATCTCTCTCATCTATCTTCTTTATTGCCTTATAGTTCTTTTTAATAAATAAAACCTTTGTAGCATATAAGGAATTTTAGAGTTTTAATGAAAATGAACAGGAAATTTGCTGAAAGGAAATTTTGTTAAATATCCTCAAAATGTAATCTTTCTTTTTTACAATCTCCAAAATACCTTTGGCATATAGTCTTCAGTTCAGACTGTTTAATATATTGTAAGAGTAATTTCTTCAAAGGACCCAGACTACTTTGAATGTCACATGTTTCTAAAGCCAGAATTACAGAAGCATAGAGTTGGAAGGGACCTCAGAGATGATCTATTCCACTTTATATTTGAACAAGAAATACCTGGACAGTATGATTGACAATTGGTCAACCAGTCTTTATTTAAAGACCTCAAACAGAAAAGAACCCCTTATTCTCTGAGATAGCCCATTCCACTCTGGGATAGCTTTAATTGTTAGGCAGTTTTATTCCTTGCAACAATTCCAAATTTACTTCTTTGTAATTTTTCAACATTGTCTTTCATTTGTCCAAATGTGATGTAGAGTGCTGAATTTTGAACTTGCCAAACTGGTTTTAAATATAGACTCTGTGTTGCTATCTTTATAATCTTGGGCAAGTCATTTAATGATTCTGGGATTCAGTTTCCTCTTCTATAGAATGAGAAGTTTAGTTTAGTGACTTCTAAGGTCCTTTCTAACTCTGAGTCTATGATCTGTAATCTTATTAAAGCTTTTTCCTCTTAAACATGACAAGCTTTGAAATACTTGATGACAGCTTAGCATATCCTCCCTTAGGCTTTCTCCAGGATAAATTTGAAAGTAGCTTATCTTGTCCTCTGTAAGTCTTTCTTTCTTCAGGATAAATATCCCTTCATCCTGTATAGCATGAATTTGACCCTTCACCATCCAGATTATTTTCCATTAGATACTTTCCAGATTAACAATGCTTTTCCTAATATGTGGTGCCAAGACCTGAACAAAATATTCCAGATATGATTTAGCACAGCAGGATTGTCATCTTCCTAGTACTGAACTTTATACTTTTCTTTATGAAGCCCAAAATTTCATTAGCTTTCTGAATTACCACATGACACTATTTAAAAAGGCCTTCTCTATTCTCACCTATCACTAACTTAGAAACTGGGGCAATTCAATTTGCATTAATTGCCTAACCCAAGGGTAAACTAGGAACAATGCCAGGATGAAGTGCCTAAACTTAGAAGTATCAGTCACCAATGTGGTGACTTCGTATTTCATAATTACAGATTTAGAGCTTGAAGGGACTATAGAGACCATGTAGGCTCACTTTCTGATTTTATGTATGAGAAAGATGAGTCCAAAAGAGATTAAATGATTTGCCTGAGATCTCAGAGTCGTAAATGGCAATTGCAATGCTTGCAATGATACTCAATAAGTATTTGTTGATTTGACCTGTCATAGATTCTTTGTCTCTAAATCTAACAGGCTTTCCTCTATGCACTTTTCCCTTAGTCAACTGGGACAAAACATGGTAGGTCAAGATAAACCAAAAATTTCATTAGAATGCTATTTCCAAATGGTTTTTTAATGTACATATGATAATGGTGATGGTAAAATCCTAGAATTCTGTTTTGAAATACAGGTGGTTGGTTTTTCTAGATCCTAGAATGCATGCTTTTCTTGGGATGTAGTTGCAATTGCATGTGCAGAAAAATCATAAACTATTCTGCGTGTCACAAATAGATCTGAGCTGAGTAGAAATAAATATTAGGAAATTCCAACTTCATAAAATGCAAATTTTCTTTCTGACAAAAAAAATAGGGTTTATTTTGAAAATCTCTCAACTAGTCCAAAAGTTCCCATTAGTTTTAATAATATTTCTAGCAAAGTGTGTTTCTCCATTTAATTTAAAGTGAAATCTCATATACAGAGATGGAAAACACCAGACCAGATTGAAACAATTTTAAAATTTACCAACCTATACAGATGTGAGTACACATTCACCTTCTTCCTTTCAGCTTCCCAGTAATAACAAAATGGGGGAAAAGTCACTATTTTCAACTCAGCATAAATTTTGACTTTTACAGGCAATAGCCACTTTGATGTTTCTTTCCTACATAGTGCTTTTCACATCAGCTGTCCAATGGGGGCGGGGAATAGAATTATTCAGAGAATAAAAAGGGATTTTCTTTCCCTTTGTTAAATGTGAGAGTTTGATAAGTGACTAAAACTTACTTATCAATGAATGAATCCACAAATATGTTTCAAGTATGTGGGTAGCATTGCTTTTCTGGTTCTGGTAATAGTCATGAGATATTCTGAAGAAATATGAACATTAACAAAGAGATCCTGGAGGATTCTGGTATTCTCCTATATTGTCATCCATAAAATCCAGTTCAGATCTATTTCTTTATGATGTTGATCATGCTATTTTGTTAGTACCAGTCCTTCAATTTTAATTCTCCCTTTAAAACACATCCTTGGAACTTGACTGACTTCACGTACTGTGTATACAATGGTAATTTGCTTAGACCATGGTGATGATCTCTCTTTCCTCTCCTTCCCCATCCCTCAACCACCCCACCCTCACCCTTTTAATAACCACAGCACAACATGCCCTTTTGGAGGATATCAAGTCATTCAGACCTCTTGGCTCTACATCAAGCATTGGAACTAGAGTATTTGTAATTGTGTTCTATTGCTGGAGATCCATTTATTTTTTTTGTTGTTGTTTTTGTTGGGTTTTTTATATATCTCAAGTACACTGAATTTTTATGTGTGATTCAATGCCTCTGGCTTTACACATATAAATTGTCTTAAAGGATGAAATCATATTTGGAATGAAAATTCCAGAAGGAAGAATTCAGATTGCTGAATGGAGTTAAAACTTTAGTTCTACAGAAAGGAAGCTCTATGGTCTTATTTGTGCAACACTTTAATGAATTATGGAGGTTGCTGGTACACACCGAATGAGCCCTAACTGGAGTTAAACAGCTTTAGCAAAGAACTTTTATGTTGGCAAAGCAGCAACACACATTTCCCATCTGACAAAGTGGTGTTCAACAACATTCCTCAATATGGGATATATTCTCAACACTGAGGTTTGAATCAGACTTTAGCCTCCCTAACCCAGAAAATCTGAATTGAAATGCACTCAGACTGTATAATGACAATTCTGTCTAGACCTGTAATTTGTGTAAATTATTGATGAAAATAATTTACTGTGACTTTATTAGCAGCTGACTTTGGAATGGATGCAATTTTTTTCTTTCTTTTTTGGGGGGGGTGGGGGAAGGGAGGGAGAAATGGGAATATAATATTGTCTCTTTTATAAGTTTGGCAAACAGAATGTGCATACTGATGTGCTGTGCCTTAAAGACAAGACAAGACAGTGTTTGTGTGTTAAGATGTATCTTTGGTTAAAAACTCTGTAGATAAAGAAAAAAAAACTTTGTGATAATCCTTGACATGACCAAATTTCAAATTCAAGTTAGCAGAGCTCAAGACTGAATCAAATAGTAATTAAGTATTTGTTGCAGTGAGGGAAGGGGGAGTGAAAAGGAAAGTTTGTGTTTTCATGTGGATTCCGAATAATTCCACTGAGCTTGAGGCAAAATAATAGCTCATCCAAACATAAGTAGAAAGTTTGGGGGAGATTGCAATGATTTTGGGGACCTTTGCTTTGGAAGTAAAATGGATATTTAAGTCTTGAGCAACCTATCCATATTTTTGCATGAGAAAACTGAGGGCCATATTCATGGTTATTTGCACTGTTTTGAGTTTGAATTCTTTAGGGATGTGTGTCATGGAGGGAAAAACACCCTCATGAAAACCAATATTTATCAACTAGTAATAGGTCTTCTGATCCTGTTCATGGAGTGAGCTGAAATTGAAAAGAAAGATAAATTTGTATTTCCCCTCCCCCAAAATAAATTGTTCTCCAATAGTTTAAGTGAGATATATGCCCCTAATAAGAAACATTCTCTAGGGAAAGTGAAACTGTGTGAGCTTTCCATAGAGCAGTATCAGATAAATGAATATGTCACACTGATCTTGGCAATGTTATAGAAATAATATTTTATTAGAGTCAACCCTGTTCTTATTTTGTTTTCATTTATCTTCTGACTTTTGAAGGCTTGTATGTTACCTTTTTCTATCTCTTATCAGTGTTGTAACAGTACAAAGAGAATCCCCGTCACTTATGCCTGTGTGCTTTCTTCTTTTTCATGAGTGACCCAGGTTGGTAATACAGTAGAGGTTCTCCTGTTTCTTTCTGCTATTTCCCCCAATAGTCCTTATTTCATAGTCCTAGAAAATCAAAGTGTCTGGGTGATTCTTATACCCACAGCTTTCTGTTAAAGGTTTGTCCAATGTCCAGTCACCTACATCATCCCACCCAACCAATGGGAAGTCCATGGCTTATTATTTAGTTTGAGATTTAATAGTGGCAGACTTTCATGGCTTAGAGAATGACAGCACCTGTTCTGTCTACCAAAATATATATTTTAGAAATACACTTTTAAGTTTCTAGGCTGGAAAACTTGCCTTTGTCTACAACAGCCAAAGAGAGAATGAAATCACCAAGCCTTGTATAAGACTGTCAAGCCATTATAAAACTTGAACTCAAGATTTGAATTCAGTGCTATTTTTATCCCTGGCACATTAGCTCTTATTAGAGCCAAGCTGAGGAAATTTTATACAAATTCTTTGGAGACAGTTTAACAAAGTTAAACTATTTTACTCAGTATTTTAAGTCAACCAACTGAGCATGTGAGACATCTCATGAACTGGCATCTAGTTATAAGAACATTACACAATTGGTTAGCAGACATGCCTAAACTTGCATTCTTCCCCATACCAAGAAAGGAATTCTAATGTTGCCAAACTACGGGTTCAGAAAGGAAAGTCCTTTGGAAAGGCAAAGAAACCAAGAGCTCATGGCACCTACAATTTCAGGTTCATATGCATCTTATTCATTGAATCTGTGTTCAAAATAGATTGACATCCACCACACCAAAGATGAGGGTGACAACAATCTGTTCATCCAGTTATACCCTAGGGCAACAAGTCACAGTCTGGTGAATCAGACTTTCAATGTGTTATCAACTATTAACTTTATCTTTCTGATTATAGGCAAAGAATACGTCCCAACCCTGATAAACAGACACACACGTATGAGTGCATATACACAGAAATATACACACAGGTCCCCTTTCTTTCTAATCTTAGGAAAAAACAATGTTGGCAGTTGCCACATACTATTTAAATATAGGATATTGTGCCTTATTATTATGACTATTTTGAATGACATTCTATAAATGAAGTGGGTTTTCAGCTACTGTACAAACATGGATTTTGTATAGTACTAGAAATAATAACCATGTTTTAGTGTTGCACCTGCAGAATATTAATAGAGTATAATTTCAGTAACCAAATATAGGTGGTCAGTACCTTAGGAAATGGAAGTAAGTTAATCTACACCAGTAAAATTCTATAAATCAAGGCCAGAGGTAACATCTTTTAGAAACACATGCAGTTTTACGCACAGAGAAATAGGTGGCAAATGTCACTCTGAATTTGATTAACTTAATCTCTCCTAAAATAAATATTCAAAATAGCAGCCACGGCGTGTTCCCCTATGAATTTGCTTTCCTCTCAGTGCACTTGCTTATGACAAACCTACATTCTGAGTGAATATGGTTTTTTAGTCTCTCTAAGGGAAAACAAGCATCGTGAGCCAAAGCTGCATTTTGACTCCCAATAATAGAAGCCTTTTGGAAATCATAACTAATCAAAATTGAGGGACTCTGTCATGCATTAGCAAGGTATAGTTTATATTGGGGCCTACATAATTTAAAGAAATGTAAATTAATATTAAAAGCTTGTAAAAATATGTACATCTTTACTATTTCTCAATAAATACATTTGGAAATGTTGTCATTTTCTTCACCTTCTCATGTTGCAAAGTGTTTATTGTGTGCATTCATATTATTCTGAAAAACTGGAATCTTTAGAGTCTTACTAATATAAACTGAAAATAGGTTTCCTTGACATATTCCAGTTTTCTTATCTCTTTAGCTGTAGCATGGAATCTGGTGTTTGTGATGAATTGAAATATAGCTAACAAAATCTCATTAATTCACACCGATTAGGCATGTCCCTATCTGAATTAGTGAAAAGGTATGACTTGTGATTTTTTTAGAGAAATACAGTATTGCTATAAATAGATTTGCTAATGAAGTGAATTTTAAGCTGTATTCCTGCCTTTTTTGCCCTCATGAAAAAATTGTCTCCCACAAACATGCACACACACACACACACACACACACACACACACACACACACACACACTCCTCCTCTGTGCCTATAGAATTCCTTGGAGAATTTCCTTTAAGGAATATGTTTTGCTATAAATTATTTGTATCGAGGCAGCTAGGTGGCACAGTGGATAGAGCACCAGTGCTGGAGTCAGGAGAACCTGAGTTCAAATCCAGCCTCAGACACATAACATTCACTAGGTGTGTGACTCTGAGCAAGTCACTTAACCCCAATTGCCTTCACCAAAAAAAAAGAAATTGTATCTAAAGGGATATTTCTGAAATAGCTGGAAAAAAAGAACTTCATTCCCATGTAAGTTTAAATATTTCCCTTATAAAAATGTTTTCCCTATTAGTTTTTTTTTTGCAAACTATTTATTTATACATAAAGCAAAGGCAAATTTCAAATCAGTTTCTATCCAAGTCTTTCTCAGTTGCTGAATTATAATAAAGTCCAAATGAAATAAGTTTAATTGTATTTAGAAAGTAACAATGCTAGCAGTTATGCTTGCAGGACACATAATGCAATTATAGATTGGATATTCATATTAATTGAATATTCAGCAATCTGTTCCTTTCATTCCCTTTTCCCTTTTTGTGCCCATTGTAATTCTGGCTGGTAGAGAAACTTCCTGTCTCCCATGGGAAGAGACTTATATGTTCATAGTATATAAAGGTAGGTAACATTTAGAAAATAGTGGTAATAGATTAAGGAAGAAGGGTAATAGAGGAGTAAACATGATTGGACCCAAAAGAAATTATGATGCAAACTGAGTTTTTTAACTAATTATTTATGAGGACTATTTTCAAGAAAATAAGATTTATTCAACAAAATAATACATTTGAGCAAAAATGCAATATTTTCTGTCTATGGAGCTCCAGACCTTCAATCCTGTATACTCACCTCTGGAATTTTTTCCCATTTGTCACCTGAGATGTAGTGTCTAGATGTAGTGCGCTTTGTGTGTGTCTTATAGAAGCATAAAGTGCTTATCCTGGAAGAGACCCTTGAGCCCATCTAGGGAGCAGCATGACAAAGACAGAGGTGTCCAGCTCTTGGCCAGTGACTGCAGAACTCCCTAATGCCATTGGAACCAGATGAAAATGTAATTGGGAAATGTTTAACAAAATAAAAGTACAATACAACACTAATAATGTTAAAGTGTGGTTTTCTAAGTCCATGTGCAGCCTGTAGGGAGCCATTTCTATTTAAGTCTGAGGCCACTGGAGTAAAAGAGGAAGTTTGGGAACAGAGAACTTATGTTCAAAGTGTGTCTCTGCTATTTGGTTAACTGTGTGTCCTTGGAAAAGTCCCTTGACTTCCCTTGAGTTTTTCCTTTATCAAAGGGTTAAACTATATGGCCCCTATGATTCCTTCTAGCTCTGAATCCTAATCTAACTAATACCTTCCTCATACAGAGGAGAAAACTGAGGCACAGAAAGATAATGTGACATTCTGAAGGTTACATAGTTAATTGGTAGAGCTGATATCAGAATACAAGTTTCTTGGTTCCTACTTCAAGGATCTTTCTATTACACAGTCTACATATAACAACCACCCTAGCTCCTTACCCTAATATTATCCCCACCTGAGAGCCCTGTTCCAATGATAGGGTTTCCCTGTTTTGATTCCCTGCCTATTCCTCCCAGTCCTCAAATTTAGAATCCTACCTGCTTCCCCCTCTCAGACTTCCAGAGGAATACCATTCATTATCCTGAGACTCAGTTCCTATAGATGAATCCTGCTACCTCCTGCTAGATCTCTCTAACCTCCCTGCCTGTCTCTACACCAGACTCCTCTGATGCTATAGTGTGACTCATCTGCTGAGATATTTGCAAATACCAACTGCTAGCCTGACTAGACTTCCTCTTAGTTGGCCAATAAGCATTTATTAAGCACCAGTTCTGTGCCAGGCTCTATGTCAAGCCTTAGGGATACAAAAGGCAAAAGACAATCCCTGCCTTCAAGGAGTTTACAATCTAATAGATAAGTCCAAGTATTACAAACAAATACTTTTGTTAAGGGGATTTGTTCTGTGAAGTTTAGATTTGGTCAAAGGGCAGCACTTGAGGAGCTAGAGGGCCATATGTGGCCTTGAGGCCACAGGTTCCCCACCCTTGCCTGAGGATTACAGACTTTGAGATGTAAGAGATCATGGAGGCCATCTAAATGAACCCCTGATTTTATATATCACCAGTTATGACTACTGACTCCTACCCAGACCATTGTCCCACAGTTTATAAATCCTGGTCTCCCAAGGTCTAACCCATCCCATACCTGATGGCCCATGTTCTAACATCCTGTGTAGCAAATAGATATATAAGTAGCGCAGTTCTATTTTTATATAATTTTTATGATGGTTATCATTTTTAAGTTGCTTAATTTTCTTTCGGGGGTATTGATTGGGGGTGAGTTAACATATAGTATGAAGTCTGAAAATATGCAACAAAACAAGACTACTATAGTTGTCCCCAGCAGATGTCACTTTGGAGGGTGGTTTGGCTGAGGAGAGTTTTTCTCTCTTCCTTTAAGGACTAGCTAGAACTGATTATCCCCAGCCATGCCTATCTCCTCTCACTGGGGACAGTTCAGGGAATGCCAGCCTCTGCTCCCCTCCCCTCCCCTCTCTCTGGGTTAGAGATAATAAGTCATTATTATGTGTGTGTGTTTTGTGTGTGTGTGTGTGTGTGTGTGTGTATGTGTGTGTCTGTGTCTGTGTGCATATAAAAGACACATACATATATGCATATAACATGTATATGTGTATATATGTATAATATATTTATATAACATGTATGTATTATATGTATAATAGAGATAACAAGTCATCATTATTCAAAGAGACCTTTTTGCAGAAAAAAAGGATATTTTTAGCTTGAGTGTTATTTTCCCTAGGGCCAGAGTCCCCAACTGACTAGACTTCTTTTCTGTGAAGAATTAAAACACTCTAAAGTATAGAGGTTATTAATAAAACAAAGAAAAGTACTGAGATTCCAGCCAATATTTAGTCACCAGGCTGGAACAAAAGTTTCCCAGCTCGCTAAATTCTACACAGTAAAATGTCCACTGGCTGTCCTAGTCTCTCCCACCACATGTACACACATATATTCTATAGCAAAGATGTTAAATCAAGTCACAGTTAAAGTTATCTTTATCTAGGCAAACTGGAATTACAGTACAAAGAGCAGTCAAGCAAACTGAAAAGAGCAGAGAAACACTTAGTAGTTAATAATGCCGACCATTTGTGGGCAGCAATAAAGCAATGTTTAAGGGTTACTCAGACACTGCTCTTTGAGTCCTATAGGATTCTGTTAAATGTAATCTCAAAGGTGGTGGAGTGGGCTCCAGCTGCTATAATGTTTTTGGTCATTTCTTCTGCAGATTATCCTCCATTTGCTGCTGGAGCCACTACTTTCTGTCTCCCTGGAAAATTAATTCCAAACTTCTCAAGCTGGCATAAACCCTTGCTCACTCCAAGCAAGGAGTTTCTGTCTCTTCCAGGGCTGGAAAGGCAGCTATCTGAGAGGCTGAATTTCATTTCCCAGGAGGCCCATGCAGATAAACCCTAGAGACATGCTCTGCCTGCATATCTGTTTCCAGAGTAATGATGAGATGATATTGGTTATGTTATGACATAAATTGGAAACCAGAAAGATGATTCTCCCTCAACATCATACCCTTTATTCATTCTGAAAGACCCTTCAAAATGACAACCAGTTGAAAAATCTGATTTCTTTCTCTACATCTCTATCCACTCAGCCATCATCCTTGTTCATTCTCTTTTTACCTCCCACCTATATTGCAATAACTTCCTAATTATTCTCCCTCTTTCACCTCTTTCTCCCTTCCAATCTACCCTTCACACAGCTGCCATGATTTCCTGAAGTATGGGTCTAACCATGTCACTCCCCAACTTCAGAGGCTCTCTATTACCTTAAGGATCAAATAAAAACTCTTCTTTTTAATAGTTAAAGCTCTTCACATCCTGTGTACTTCTATCTTTCCAATCCTCTTACAAATTACTCCTCTCTACTAACTCTACTGTCCAGCCTGTTGCATTTGCCTGCTTGCTAGTTCTCATACACAATGTTCCATTTCCCATTTCCATATTTTTGCACTGTCTAGCCTCCGCATCTCTGCCTCTCAGACTCTCTCAACTCAAACATTCTCCCAGTTCCCCCCAGTTACTGCTTTCCCCCCTTAGTTTACCTTCTATCTAGCTGTATATAAAATGCATATCCGTATTATTTCACCAAAAAAGATTACAAATTCCTCGAAGGCAGAAACCATTTAAAAAAATGGTATCCCTGGGATTTAATAGAGTGCCTGGCACATAATAAGAACTTAATAAATGTTTGTTGATTAATTAATTGACTAATTTCCCTATTTTAGTGAATATGGCTTTCTATACCTAATTACAGACAATGATTTCACATCTAATAGCAAAGAGGTTAAGACTTGTACCAATGATAGTATACTCAGTTCTGTAGTGATCTACAGGAACAAATTCTTCAGCGAGTGCCAGTAAACTACATTAGTCTCCATCAGCAACTACCAGGAGAAAATATGTAGCTAAAAGGTTCTAAACCCAGAAATAGGGTGATATAGAGTAGGCAAGAGAGCTTATTGGGACCC